GCTTGTAAAGGAACGGAACGTACATGTCATTAAAAATCTGGATAGCTGCAAAGCCTTCTTAATAGTCATACCAGTGAAGTTGTCTTAGAATAAAAGATGAAGCTTTTCCAGAGTAAACAGAGCTACGGGGTCACTTGCAAACCTTCTAATGAGAAAGGGTTTTTGATAAGGCAATGGTGGAAGAACGTTTACTGAGCAAAGCAGCACCTATTTACACCTACTGTGTCACTCCAGAGCAGTTGTTGTTCAGAGGCTGCAGGACTATTTGTCTGTCTCATGTAAACATAACTGTTTCCTTCATTTGTTTTCAATGCAGAAGTTCACACCATGCTGGATGCACTGTTACCGCCAGATACTTATTTCAGATTCAACCCTCTTATGAATGAAGACATACCTCTGGATGAAAGTCGTAAAGAGAAACTCAATCAGCTGCAGACAGATGGAATTCGTTACTTAGAACGAAATGAAGAAAAACTGAGAAAAGCTGCAAAAATATTAACACAAGAAAAAACAACTTTGCAGAGACTTCAGGACTGGATAAGATTAAAGGCTGACATGTATGAAGGCCTTCCATTTCTTTCCAAACTGTGAATATGTAATGCATGAAAGATCGTAAATGTAAATCTTGTTCCAGAAAATCCGTTCAGTACTGTAAAGGAAGAATGTTTACTGGGGGTAAATAACATCTTTGGAGAGCTATCACAATTCTGGAGAAGGCAATTCAGGATGGCTGTTTTGTCCACACTCACTTGATGCAAGGTTTTATGGTGTTAATTATTTTTTGAACTTTATGGATCTTACTGTTCCTCTACTTCAGTTTCTTAAAGTCGGTAAACCTGAAAATTATGAAAACAGTTGTGCTATGCATTTTTGGATGTATGTACCATAATTATGGTGGCAGTAAAAGTTTATTTATTGACTACCAGGCTTATTCAAAATTAACAAAAAAGAAAATCCTCATTCATTTTAGTATAGGCAATATACCTGTTAGGCTCTTATGTAGCCAGTGAATTTAATAGAAATGTAACGTTCTTACAAAACTTTTGCCTGTGTTAATTGCACTTTTACATTTGAAAGATAACATTTAAATCCTTTTTTTTATTTTCAGTGTTTTTTGTACATAACAACAGTATTGAGTAAGATGTTTGGATGACTATAAATGGCATATTAAATTATCAAAATTAACTGATACTTTTAGGACTTGCTGTTTATTGTTTTTATTGGGATAACTTCAGATTGGTTCATTCATTTTTTGAAAATAATCCCAAGCCCCAAAACTTCACTTGAGCAGCTATTCCTGTCACAGGATAAAGGAAATAAAGTCTTGAAATAGTTCACGTGAGTGTGAAGCTTACCATAGAAGCTTCAGTTTTGGATGCCAAACTTCAGGTGTCTCTAGTCAAGAAGAAAATTTGCAGTTGATACATGAAATAATAAATTACGCATTTCCTCCTGTCTTTTAACTTTCATATATGCATCCTCTTGAAATTCCCTTAGAGTTGTGAAGTTGACATTCAGAGCTTACTACGATCTTGCTGCTCATTCCTCTGCAACTTTCTGCTTATGTCAAGAAGGGTGGTTTGGTAAGCTATGACGATACAGTACGTCGGTGAAACAACATTTTCAACAACAGGAAGGTACACGAGTTCTTCGAAACAGCATGACTGCAGTGAAATTTGAGTTAGACACAGCTGCTGTCACACGTTGGGCATGTAGCCATTAATAAGATTGCTTGACAGGTTTCTGGGTGAGTTTTTTTGCCTCTTGGTAGACAGCTACAGTACATGAAAATATTTACTAGATAAAATGTCCGGTTTCACCAAAAACCAGTGCATTTGTCACTTTGCTTTTTGGGACTAATCACCTGCCATTGCGTTATCTACTAAAAATAACATTTACGTTGATAGTCACCTTCTGTACTTGTCTTTAAACACTGAAAATGGTTTTAGGCTGCCTTTAGGAAAGGAACTTTGAGGAAGACAGCTGAGATCCTTCATTATCTTAGGAGTTGCTACACAGTATTCTGTGACGGTGCAAGAAAACATTTGATTTGCGTTGTTCTTTTTCTAATCTGATATATTTTTAATTTTTACCTGTGTCATTTTACGCAGATACCTATACTTTTCTGGTGCTCCCTCAGTTCTCTGGCTTGTTTTTGCCAATGAAGCTTGTAAGTGTCATTAGTGCATAAGCTGTAGCCTTCACGTTTTTTTTAAATTGTTCCCAATGCAAACAAATTCGAGGTGCCTAAGGACTAAAGAAGCCTTTGTCATTCAGTATGTGAGGCAGGGAAAAGAGGAGAAACAGAGGGAAAGAAAAGTTAAAAAGCTACATTCTTTCACTTCTTATCTTTAAATTGCTGTATGTTGTTATCCCCCCCCCCTTTTCTTTTAAACTATGAACACCAAAAGTAGTTCCTTGAATAGGGCAATAAAAATACTAAAAAGGGAACTTTCATGATCTTGGTGCAACTGTACTTTATACAACTTCCCTTCTTCATTCCAATTACTAAGAACTGAGTAAAAGAATAACAAGAGATCAAGCCTTTCCCAGTGGTGTGAGATAGTTTAAGCACACAAAAAAGAAATGTCAACGTCATTCTGATCAAGGCACCTTGTACAGAGTTAAGCTGTGTTGCCAGCATCCTAAATCAAAATAGGCAATATAGGATAGTCTCATGTAACAGCATACATAATACACCTCTTCTTCCCCCGGCAAAGAGCAAAGTCACGGCATCCTCCATAGGGCTATCAAAGGCGTTATTCTGAATTCCTAAGTTTCCAGTCGTTGCTTTTTGGGATAAGCATTTATTTAAGACAATGCTTACCTGTCGTGAACAAAGTGATAACATTTCCACTTAATTGTTATAGAAATAAAACCTGTGAGTTACTAATATTCAGACAGTGGGGTAAGTGCATATACTGAACTGGGCTTGCAGGTTGGAATGTTGTTTCTGTTTGCCATAATGCAAGAGTTTTTCTTCATTGAGAAGTTCTCCAAGTACTCTCTACTCTTCTCATGGATAAATTCAACATTGTACTAAGAGGTGATTAGAGAATGTAAACCAAGAAAGCTTCCAGGCTTTTGAATGAGTACAGAAGATCTCAAATTATTTAAATACCGGGTTTTTTTTCTAGTTCTTTATGAGCTGCCTACAAAGCTTCCACTACAGCTCTGTTGAAAAAACAGTCATTTTGTATAGAGCCTTGGCTTTTCTAATCCGCCTTCCAGAAGACTACATTAAACATATTCTAGGCTGATGAATGCAGCTATGTGGCTGACTTTTTAGATCCCATATTTAAGTTAATGAAAATATACTGGCGAAGACATCGACATTGTCTCCATGTTACTTGCGGTGGCCTTTCCAAGTGGATGTACATAAATGCATTTAATCAGCTCACAGGAGTGAAGGCAAGTACTGCTTTGCCTTCAAAAGGGTACTTGCAAAATGGCACTTGCAGCTGGTTGCTTTCTCTCTGCAAAATCCCAGTGTGGGTTGCTTCAGCCCGCAAACTAGGACATGAGAAGTGCATGGGCTTCAAGTTAGACCGCTGTAAAGCTTGATTTTAATCTTTGGTTTGCACTAAAGGAAGTCTGGTTCAGAGTTGCATAAATAGTAATAATTGAGATAGATAGAGCACATGCGTGTAAAGATAAGTGATAGCAACAACACTAGGTAAATCTCTCATGAAACACCGGTTCACTCTTGTGACTACAGAGGGTAAAAAAATCATAGCTCTTAAACCGATGAGGTCAAGGCTACGTATAAAGAGCAAGAAGAAAAGGCTGTATTTAAATCGGTTCATTCCATGGAAAGATTCTGATTCAGTTTAAATGTCTTCTAATTTTTG